AACAGGCCTCCTCTATAAAAGCAGACTGAGGTAGATCCTGTACCTTTGTGTGTTATGTGCTCAGGTCCTGGGTATGACTGTAAACTACATCCAACTGGAGGGCCTGATGGGAACATGGTGGGGTAGCTCCTATAAAATACCACAATGTTGAAAACTCCAGAGTCAGATGAGTATAGGTCACCTCAAAACCCTAGCCCCTCAACTGCCTTGTGGGTACTCCTTGTTTGGAGAAAAGCTAAGGGACATCATCCTGGCGGACACGTGCCCTTGCTGAGGCAGGAGGCGGTTAGCAGCAGTTTTATATGTTGCTCTCTGGCAGAACCTACAGCCATCAAGACACTGAATGTCTGGACTCGGCCTAACTTTTGGATTCTCTCTCAATGGTCTAAAGGGGGGATGGTAGGTCTAGGGCAGCCTCCACTCCTCCATACTCTTGCATAGGCGTACACATCAAAGGTCTTGGTGTGATGGTCACAGGACTCTGTATAAGCACATTCATCAGGCACCTGACTAGGCCTCTTACGCATACACCATGATCCAGAGAATCGACGGTTCCCTACAGCTTAGGCATCATGAATGCCTATGCCAGTCCTGGGCATGTTTTAGGGAAATGCAGAAAGCAGACATTTTCCAAGGCAAATATTTTTCCTCTAACAAAGGGGACACATGCTGCTGGGGGAAAACAAGGCTACACGTATCAAAGAGAAAAGGAAACAAAAGAGAACATCTACCCTAAGAACTCGGTCTCATAGAAGGCTGGTAGGAAGCCAGTGACATGATTCAATGGGATCAAGTCTAGATAGCCTAAAGGCAGTGGAGGCTTTTGGCCATCATTTAAATTTGGTGTCATTGAATCCACACTGAATCCTGCTACCCAGACATGATTTTAGGATGTGCGATGTCCATTCAGGGACTGAGGCAAAAACAGGGGTATAATGAATTATTCATGCTAGGACTGTTAGTTAAATGCAAACAGACATTCTCCAACTTGTCCTCAGTAGCCCCCTGTTCACTGCTCTGCAACTGCAATAATGAACTTGGGCATTTTTCAGTTTTACTTTTGGCAAGTGTCATAACCCAAAGGTATGATTTTGTGTGCGCTTCGGCACCAGAATTATCCCCGCCAAATTGCAGCTTCGTTGCACGGTGGAGTTTTCTGCTGCAGAGGAGAGCCCCGGTGCAAGGAAGAATTTCCCGCCTATTTGCAGCTTCCTTTGCAGAGTGCATTGCTCAAGTTGCAAGGGAAATGCACGGAGCAAAGGAGTTCCTGCCACCCGCATGCAAATTTGTGTCCCGCTATTGGCTAGTTCCAAATTATTCACACATGGCGGCTAACGATTGGCCTGTTAGCCATATAAGAGGCTTGAGCGGTTTCCGCCCAAGCTGAAGAGGACTCCACATCCATCTCGTGGGGACTCTGGATACACGGCAGGGAAATAAAGACCCCTGTGTGAGATTCAGAGGAGCTTGGCGACCTGATCCATCGCCCACCTCTTCCCATCTTCGAGTGACAAATTTTATAAGACGTATCTACGAGTTTCCGATTTTGGTGGCATGCTCACCCAGAGCATCCGGAGCTCTGTTTCCGTGGAGCCTAGCAAACTCCATGTGACCGTTTGTGTTGTCTTTGTCTGTAACCGCAACTCAAGCAAGTTTTCCAGCCTGCA